CTACCCGGTTAGCCTGCTGTCTTATACACCAAAGTTGCACATACCCTGTTTATTCAGATCAATCTGTAATGTTATCAAATAGGCATTAAATGTCCAGATATTTCGTTTAATAACAACAATTATGTAATGGGTTCTGTTGTTAGTAGTAGTAGTAGTAGTAGGCTATCACATTCGCAATAACTTTTGATCAGGCATTAAAAACAGCGAACACACACAAGCTAAAGAGATTTAGCTAACTTTAGAACCCACTGACTACAAATCGTATTTAAAATTATTCAATAGTTTAGCATCGAAATCGTTGTTTTACTTATTGTTTATCGCCCATTCATCCTGTGATTACTAAAGTGTTCCTACAAACACCAGTTATAATATAAGAAAGCTGGCATGGACTAATAACTTTGTAACACTGCACACTTAATTAACTAAAACAACCTTTAATCATAAGAAAATGCCATCAGATAAAAAAAACGACTTTACTCACTTTGAGTGTGGTTTTCATCCTCCATGCTAAATCTCTTCGCTTGTGTGTTCGAAATCTCCCTGGTGGTGATAGCGGTTTTTAATGCCTGATCAAAACTTATTGCGAATCTGATTGCCTACTACTACTAACAACAACAACAGAACACATTATATAATTGTTGTTATTAAATTAAATATCTGGACATTTAACACTTTGATATCATTACAGATTGATCAGAATAAACCAACGTGATCTCATATGTGGTTCTATAAAACGTACATTTACTTACGTTTTTACAGGCACTAAAACGTACAATACTGATGTATTTTCATCTTCCGAATCCATACGACTGCGAGGAACAGACCCAAATCCAACGCTGCGTCCGAAATCGCATACTTCCATACTATATAGCAGGCGAAAAACAGTATGCGAGGCGAGTAGTATGTCCGAATTCATAGTATTCGAAAAACAGTAGGCGAGAAGTACCCGGATGACCTACTACTTCCGCCCGAATTCCGTACCTTTTTTTGGTGATCTGCTTCTCCATCCCGAGCGCCAATGAGCATTCGATTATCCTGCCGTAAAACCTGTCGTTTGAAGCGGCAACATTTGAATTTGTAAAGAGCGCATCAGTCAGCGAGTCCAGCCTCACGGTCACTGGACTCGCTGACTGATGAGCTCTTTACAAATTGCGACATGCCGTGTTTCTGGTGAGGTGTGTTTGAATGATGCTCCGCGCGTTCCTTCACGAGTTCACGGAGTGGATCGGGAAAATTATCTGGATAATATTTTCAGCGATTAACAACATAAATCTGCTCTGGATCACACAAACCTACTGTATTCCGCCAGAGAGGACTGCGGGTGCAGTGCATCGTCATTTGGATTACTTTTAGTACTGCTTTTGATATTTTTGAAAAAAATAATTGATTGTAATTGCATTTATCTGTCTGTCATGTTTTTCTTATACTGTACAGAATTGTTTAGGCTTATAGGTAGGAGTGGAATTAGCGACTATAAATATATTTTAATGCTATATTGTTACTAAAATTTTTATTTTCCTGCGTATTTTGGTCATTTGCTTTTTATATCCTATATCGGAGTGGGGGTTCAATCTTCAACTGGCTGGCAGGAGCCGCCACTGGCAGATCACGTGACCTGCCAGAATCAGACTGGCAGCTGCCAGTGGCTGGCTGGCAGCTTCAGGCAGCCGCTGTAGATCTGCGAGTATAACGCCTACCCTATCACTCGCCCTGCAAGGAA